AAATGTTAGACTACAATTTTCAGGATATAGGTGTCCTCGACCGACTGACTCAACAACTTTGAAAGCTTGAAACATCTGTATATACGCACATATTGTCCAGTGTTGTAGTATTAGAATAAGTGGTGCTTTCATATGGTCAGAGTGCTTATTTAAAAAAGTTACATGTTAATTTCCGCTGTTGCTAGAACAATTATACTTTTTATCTGTGGACGACAATAATCTGTCGAATTAATTACTGTGGTTTGTTATATTTTAGTGGGATAATCCAGGATTCTCTTCTTCTAAATATAGTGAGTTTTCTTTAGTTGCTTATAAGAAAATGAGTATCTGTGATACCAGGCAACATTGGCCTGTTACACACATTAAACAGATGACGAAAGTTTAAATGTAATATAGGTTGTGTTTTATAATATCCAGCTAATATTCTAGGAATTCGATGAAAAAAATACTACGAACGAACATAACATGCTAATGCAGTCACTTTTACGTACGCGTATGTACACCAATGTATTGATCAATTTCTGAAATACAGTGCTTTAGCATTACAGAATTTCCCACTTACACTTACCTCGTTCAGTTTTCCGTAACAACATCTGAACATTCAACGTCAAGAAATGTTTTTCTTTCTAAAAACAGCAAATGTGATATTACATTTTTCGTTAGGTGATAATGTTGGACTTCTAATGTGATATTACATTTTTCGTTAGGTGAGAATGTTGGACTTCTAATGTGATATTACATTTTTCGTTAGGTGAGAATGTTGGACTTCTAATGTGATATTACATTTTTCGTTAGGTGAGAATGTTGGACTTCTAATGTGATATTACATTTTTCGTTAGGTGAGAATGTTGGTCTTCTAGCTAATTCGTTTTGCTTTCTTAGCTTATTTTCACTGTGACTGAAGGACCTTCCACTACCTTAAGCCATGTTATGCAAAACTTACATGTTTTAGGATTAAAAATATTTGTTTCTGTTAGTAAATTGTTTGCTCGTTTGTTTTAGCTCAAAGCTTCATATTTGGCTATATGAACTTTGTCCACTACGGAGAATCGAACCCCGGATTTTAGTGCTGTAAATGCGTAAACTTACCGCTGTCCCACCAGGGGACTCCGAATAAAAATATTTTACAAGCCTGTGGTCCTAAAATTTAACGATGAAAAGCTTGTAATTAAACACGGAATACGACACATCGAAGTTATCGATAAACACGGAATACGACACATTATATTATCGAAGTTTCCCAAGTGGAAAAGTCTAACTAAATAAAGACTTTATCTTATTTGTATATTTTGATAGCAAGAGCGTCTTTGAATACAGAATTATATTTTACACAACTGTTTTAAAGTACAACTTAGAATCCCTGAATAACGAGTTTCATTTTGTTTTCCTCTACACGTTTGATTTTAAGAGAACTACGTGTAATATAACTTAGAATAACTAGAGTTTGATTAAGAAATGCATTCTATTTTCTTCTCTAAGAATAATGAATAATGTCTTTATAACGGATTACATTCAGTTTTTTCGATAAGTACAGAATGACAAACACACCAGTAACGGATTACACTATGATTTCCTCTATAAGAACAACATAACCAATATTTGAATAATAGATAACATCCGCTATCTTCGATAAGTTCGGGAGGACTAATGTCTGAATAAAGAATTACGTCCCAACCTGAATTCCAAACTAGATCGCTTTAAGACGTGAGTGTCATTTCTATTTCTCGTTTTTAAACCAACTTACTGCACGGTATCATCATTTATTTATACTCTTTTTTTTGCCAACTTGATATACGATGTAAAAAAAAAATATATGATTCTTAAAAGGGGTGCTGGTTTAGCTAATTGTTTCACAAATTTTCTTGACAAATATAGATTAAGACTGTGATAAAAAAGGCATGTAACAAATATAACGTGATTAAAAACGTTCTATATCACAACATTAACAGCTTCAATTTTTAGGAATACGTAAATCAACCTAACATAAAATGATTAAATTACTGTAGGGTCTCTTTATTAATACATTAAAAGAAGAATGGCTTATGGTTATATAGAAATATCAATAGAATTTACAAGTAGTAAATGTTTTTTTGTGGTTCTTTCACAAGTACAAAATGTATTTTGTTTGTTTATAATTAAACACAAAGCTATATATGGGGATATCTGTGCTCTGTCCATCACGAGTATCGAAACCCGGATTCTAGCATTGTAAGTCCGCAGACATACCGCTCTGCCACTCGGGGGGCCACACAAAGTAATCACTGAAAGAAGAAGAATAGAGAGGTTTAATTGCTTCCATTCAAAGACATATCGGTAAATCTCAGGCACCAGATCCATTCATTACAGCTTTACTGTAACGAAATGTGACAAATGCCAACCTGTGGTGGTATACTTAGTATGACATTTATTACGGTTTCAAAATTAATTTGAAAGAAATTAACTGTAATTTAAGAATTTTTTTTCAAAAATGATATTTAGCATGATCATGATGAAATTTACTTTGTAAACAAATGTAAAGTCTAACTCTACTCCTGGCTCAAATACAAGTATCACAATTGGATCAAAATGGAAAAAATAAGAAATCCAAAAGATAATGAAAAGTTCCATAAAATATATGTTATGCAGAGAAAAATATCTAATTCGAAAAGCAGAGGAAAACAAGCAAACACAAATAAAACAAGTAAACAAAATCTTTGTTTATAATATTGAAAGTGTTAACACTAAAACTATCTGTCTTATTGTTTGTTGACTATCTAGCTGCAAGGGTGAAAAGCAAAAACCAAGAGGGAAGTCAAGAGTCAAAATAAAGAGAGAGTATTGTATAGTTATACCACTTTTATAATCGGACCGAGTGCTTAATGCAGTATCCTACAATCCTTTAGGTGAAATACTTCAATCACTATTCGACATGCACAATTATAACCATCTGAAACCAATACGAACACGCTTTTGAATCGGCGAACTTCTCAGTAGCTTCTGACTTAACAATAAAAATCGCAACACCTAACTTTCCCTGTGTAAAAAAAGAATTAATACATGTTAACGACCTCTTGACATTTGGTGAACACAGATGTAATCAGTCACGTTCAGAACAATCGTACGCAAATTCAGAAGTTATCGGAATACAAATTACTTAAAGATATATTCTCTTTATAAAATGAAATTTGAAACAAGTTCATAATTTAAAATGATTAAAATAGTTAAAATGTTCACATGTCCATGTAGACAGCAACCTTTTCAAGAGACTTTCAACTTCAGGCTCTGTATTCAGTCTTGTGGCTTGTTCTGTTCTTCATAAGGTGGAATCTGTAGTGCAACTCTTGGCAGCTGTGCCCTATTCGTTGAGTTGAATTTCGTCCAAATGATTTAGAGCATCGAGTGTTGGACTGTCTAAAATCAGTATCAGACTTGCACTGCTGTCCCTGAGTCCGTCTATTCTAAAGAACTAGATGCTTCACGACACCACATGAGGTTCCAGCCACCTCCTACTACTAGTTTCTCTACCACAGTCTAGTTGAGAATTAGAAGGAAGCTTTCAACTTGTTTTGTAAGTCCAGAGACATGCAAATCCTCTCGAATGTAACATCTTTGTGCTAAATCCGTAGTAAGACAACTTGGTATGTGGGAGCGAATACCACCGTAATGACGCGACATATCGTACAATACTTTTTTACTACATCATACAGATTCCTTGGCTGCTGGATGTTGTTTGGGAATTCTTTCAGCACATCTTACTTTCCCTGAAGGCTTCTGCTTCCTTCTAATCCTGTTAGATCATAGCGAGATGCCACTTGCTACATCTCATGGCATTACAATAAAACACATCAGATTCTGTCAAGTGCACACATCTAGTAAATGAGCATAGAGATCACTTTAGTAAGTCATGAGAATTGTAGGCTACTCATTGCTACTATGACCCTTTTCCACTTCCATTTACACTTGAATAATTATTTGCCAACCAGGAACTTGCATGATTTTTATTGTATTTATTCGGTAACTAGAGATTATATTAACATTTACTTTGCATTTTGGTTTTAAACTTTCGATATTGCTTGTTTAATATAAAAAGTAGCGATCTTACAATCTGAAAAGTGGAAGAATTTTGTTGCTTTATTCATAGCCAACTTAAAGAGTTTTCATCACTGTCGCCTTAAGAAGCAAGATTTGGTTTAAGTTTGGCTATCCTGCTTCTCTTGAAACTCGAAGATTTCTTCCCAAATGAGTTATTATTGTGTTTTTATTGTTCGGTAATAGTTTGCTATTATACGTCCGTCAGAATTTGTTTTTGAGTGAATCATTATTTTGATGTTTTTCACTTACATACTGTTTGTATTTTAGACAATATTTTAGCTGTAGCAATCTGTTTGTGTTTAATAACAACCGTTCGTTTAGAGCCACGCTATTAATTTTTAGGATAACATTAAGTATTTAAACGCCTGAGTTTCAGTTAGGTATTTAGTCGTGGCTTTTATTGTTACCTTGTATCCTTCAGTTTTTGCTCACCCAAAATGGACGAAGTAATAGCCAGCTCAATACTGTTTCGTTTAATAGATGTATGAATGATTATGAATTTCGACATTAAATTAACATCATTTGCAATTAACTTTGCTAAATAAGCCAGGGTCGGGCGTGATATATCTTAAAGTCGAAGGCTAGAACCACTAAACATGATTCGCATTTTGAGTATGTGACAGTCATGTCAATCCCGGCGACTAGTGATGCTGACTAGACGCTCAGCAGTTCTCTGTTAGGGATCTGATCGTTTGTTTCACGAGGATCATATGATGTCGGCCAGATAGTAAATAGTAAATATTTAAAGTAAAGTCCTAAAACTAGTTATAGAAAGAGTGTTAATTTAATTCCCAGTTATAAAGTCCATGTCGGAAAAACATTGCATGTTTAACAATCAACTGTGTTTATTATTATTATAGTATTATTGTTTATATTTTTGTTGCGCTGTATAACGAATTATTAAACTAGAAAACAAAACAAAAACCTACCACGTCTAGATTGGGTTGCTGGTGCTTGTAATGTCTCGATGTTCGTCACGAAAGGCTCACTTTTACCTTGAACGTTGATGGCATAAAGTTTGACCACGTACAGAGATCCAGGACTAAGTTTTCTAGCAAAGAATACTGGGCTCTGAGTCGTAAAGTTCGATTCCAATGCATTTTGACCCTTGTGAAAAACCTCTGCGTAGAAATGTTGTCGAAGTCCACCATCATAGCCTTCAAAACACTCTATCACTATCGTGGTTTGAGTCAGGTTGGAGATAGTGCAATTTTCCAGAGGTTCTGGTGGTCCTGTGGATAAAGTAAAGACTTACTTATAACAATTGTTGGCAGAAAATAGCATCATACTGTACTGCTTCCCAGTGGCTGAGCGGTAAGCTTGAGGGCTTGTTAAGTGAAAAACAAAGTCGTGGTTCAATGCCCGTGGTGGTCAAAGTGGAGGTATTCCATTGAGTAGCTTTAGACACAAAACAAAGCAAGCAAATCGTACAGCAAAGTTGTAGTGCAATGCTACACAATAAGCTATATATGCGTACTGTCCACCACGAGTTATTGAACCCCGCCTAGGTTTTAGCGTTGTAAATCCGTAAACTTACCTTTGACCCATGGAGAACTACAGCAAATTAAATAATTATATATGCGTCAAGGACAACATTATTTGGAATAGGAAAAAGTGAAATGTCAAGAAATAATGTTATAAAACCTTAATATTGTTTATATTATTGGTATTAATAAACATATACGTTTTTCAAACTAAGGATTAAAATAATTCTGTATTTTAATCTTATACCTCTATAACACAATTTTCTCATGATACCTTAAGTTCTTAGACCTTGAACATGTAGCTGTATGTAATAGCTCAAAGCTCAGTCGCTTAAAGTTTATTTCCAAAAAAATGTATATATTTAAGTGAGCAATCCAACGTTTTCATGATAGTATGTGTGGGGGGATTAAAACAAATGTATCTTTACTAGTAGTCATGTGTGGGGGATTAAAACAAATGTATATTTACCAGCAGTCATGTGTGGGGGATTAAAACAAATGTATCTTCACTAGTAGTCATGTCTGGGGGATTAAAACAAATGTATCTTTACTAGTAGTCATGCGTGGGGATTAAAACAAGTGTATCTTTACCAGCAGTCATGCGTGGGGATTAAAACAAATGTATCTTTACCAGCAGTCATATGTGGGGGATTAAAACAAATGTATCTTCACTAGTAGTCATGTCTGGGGGATTAAAACAAATGTATCTTTACTAGTAGTCATGCGTGGGGATTAAAACAAATGTATCTTTATCAGCAGTCATGCGTGGGGATTAAAACAAATGTATCTTTACCAGTAGCCATGTGTGTGTGGGATTAAATCAAATGTATTTTTACTAGTAGTCATGTGTGGGGGATTAAAACAAATATATCTTTATTAATAGTCATATGTGGGGGTGAAAACAAACGTATCTTTACCAGCAGTCATGCGTGGGGATTAAAACAAATGTATCTTTACCAGCAGTCATATGTGGGGGATTAAAACAAATGTATCTTCACTAGTAGTCATGTGTGTGGGATTAAAACAAACGTTTCTTTACTAGTAGTCATGTGTGGGAATTAAAACAAATGTATCTTTACTAGTAGTCAACCCCTCGA